AAGCCCTACGGGGCTGGGGATTTAGCTCAGCAGCACAGCACCTGCCTGGCAAGCGCGAGGTCGTGAGTTCGATTCCCGGTACCAGAAAAAAAAAAGCCCTATGTACTACTGACACTAAGTAGCTTTCAAGAGAAATTCTTAGAAAACTATGTTTTTGAGAGCCTTCCAAGAAAGGTCTCATCCATCTTAAGATGAATACATATATATTCAACATTATTGTGTACAGAGCCTCCAACAAAACATCACCCAAACCATCTGCCTGCCTATAACCAGAAACAACAGGCGAAGCATTAGCAGAAGCTCCTGAAGTAGTTATTAAAAACCATACCCAGCTCTCAATGTTCATGCTTAGTAGCATAATCCTAGACTATCAACATAGCACAAAATTTCTTGCTACCCTGACTTTAATGTAACTTCGTATTACTCTTAAAGATTTGTTTTTTCTTTGCTTTTAAACAAAAGCACCACCTTGTTATAAAACTGCTTCAAGAAAGTGAAGTTGTAGGAATCTATTTTTTTTTTTTTTATCTTTTGAGATGGGGTTTTTCACTATGAAGCCCAAGCTGGCCTCGAACTCACAGTGATCCTCCTGCCTCACAGCTTCCTGAGTGCTGTGATTACACGTGTGTGCCACTATACTGGCAGAATCTATTTTCCAGGGCAGAGAGACCTACATTAGGATTTATGGGTTCTCCATGCACTTGGGAACCCCACCATATTTCTGCTTCAAGGCTACACTTCCAAAGGGAAGACAAACACCTAAACACCTGCCATGTGCTCAGATGCTCTTGGGGGGATTAGGAAAATGACCACAATGAAAACTAGAGGCAAGTGCTCCTGAGGGCAGATGCTGGCACACACCAGGCACTCAGCTGGTACACAATCGAGCCAACTCATCACATGTGATGGTCAAAAAAACACTTACTTGTATAAACAAGCAACTATCATCATCTATAAAAATGCAAAATTCATAATCCTTACTCAAATACTTCTGATCATACCAAATACTTATAAGGTAGGTATTAAGAGGATATCTAAGTTGTCCAATAAAGCACATAAAAATGTAGGTCTCCCAAAAACGTGGAAGATGGTTCTATTTTCTACAGCTACTGATGCCCCAGTACCCAGCCAGTATCTTAAGAAGAGGGAAGGCACCATTACCTGACACCCTCAGGCTCACGGCCAGGCCTTGCCACCACAGCAGATCTTTCTGAGAGCTCCACAGCACAGAACTGTCTAGAAGGACCACAAGACCATTCCTTTTCGCAGGGCTCAGCCTTGGCATTGGTGGAAAATCAACCAAAGTAAAAAAAAAGCACCTACTTTAACTAAGTCAGGTGCTGGACAAAATGAGAAAATAATGGAACAAGTGTTTTATTTGATGAGTTTGACTACCAAATTCAGCTGCATCAGAAATCATTTTATAACTGAGAACAAAAGGAGATAAGAACTGGGCACGGTGGCCCACACCTGTAATCCCGGCACTCAGGAGGCTGAGGCAGGAGGATTGTTGCAAGTTCGAGACAAGCCTGGTATACAAAGGGAGCTCAAGGCCAGTCTAAACTGCACAGCAAGACCCTGTCTCAAAAAAAAAAAAAAAAGTATATTTAAAAAAAAAAAAAAAAAAAAAGGAGATAAGAACTTCTGAGATCTCCTAGAATTTTCAAGGCAAAAAAATCACTTTTATATATAGTCCTTCATGTTGCAGAGACAAAAACGGAAGTGCAAAAGGTGTAACATAGCTAGTTGTGGTGGCACACACATGTAATCCAGCACTCAGGTGGCTAAGGCAGGAGGACTGCCATGAGTTTGAGGCCAGCTGAGCTACAAAGTTAGTTCAAGGCCAGTCTGAACCTAATAGTAAAACCCTGTCTCAAAAAGAAAAAAAAAAGAAAAGTGACACATCCATGTTTCCATGTTTCACTACAAGTAGGTGACCAAAATAGGACTGAATTTCACAGCTCCAATTTAATTCCAGACCTATGTGCTTTTCAGTACTCCATACTGACACTAGGGTTACGTACATGCTTCAATACACACAAAAAAATCACACATAATACATATAGGCCCATCAGTGATAGAATGCAACAGCCCTACGCAATGTAGCTTTGGATGGCCTACCTATTTGGAAGCTGAGGCAGGAGGATCACTGTGAATTCAAGACCACCCTGGGCTACAAAGTGAGCTCAAGGCCAGCCTGAACTGCACAGCGAGACCCTGTCGCAAAAAGACAAAAAAAAGTACATAAATAAAGTGACTTATTCTAGTCTAATTCCTCTAAGGCTAGTTAAAGAACAAAATAGTACTAACACTAACATTTATTAAATGTAAGCCACTTAATGCAGTGAAAACCAAGTCATAAGAGTCAGTTTATGAACTGCATACTCCCTTAAATGGTTACGTGAAATTCAAGTTTCTCATGGTTTGTAAAACTAAAGATGGGTTCACAGAACCTTTTGTGGATGTGGAAGTTGAAGGGAACTGTCTGAACTCAGTGGAAGATTAGCCATTCAAGGTTTATTTTGGGCTTCTTAATTGGTGTGTTCCATTTCTTTGAAGAAAAGAATGTCTTAAATTATCCCTCAGTTTATAAAAGGGGAAATAAAATCTCTTAACTCCAAAACAGATCATGATGCTCCAGTGCCTGACCTCAGCTGACAAACTGTGGCTGTCTTCTCAGCTGGACATTCTAAAACTCACAAATTTCTAAATGTTGCTTGTTGCTGTAGGAATAAACTAAAAAGCTGTAGAGACAAAATGCAACTGACATTTACTTCAAACTCCTACCCCAAACTCAGGTTAAGTATAGTTAGTGTAGTGTGTTGTTTGCCATTCAATAGAAATTTTCTGCATAAAAATAAAAGTAGAAATGTTTAATTGTTCAGCCCTATTTAGTGAGCATCAATGAAGAAATTTTCAGTTTCATGAAAAGTTTCTCCTTCAAGATTTTTCAGTTTTATGAAAAGAATCACATTCACCAATAAGAAAGTGCATTTAGGAACATGAATCAAATTTGTTCCCCAAAGGCATCCATCTCAGCTGGGCATGGTGGTGCACACCTGTAATTCCAGCACTTGGGAGGCTGAGGCAGGAGGATTGCCACAAATGTGAGACCAGCCTGGGCCACACACTGAGTTCAAGGCCAACCTGAACTACATAGTGAGACCTTGTCTCAAAAAAAAAAAAAAAAAAAAGGCATCCATCTCTCTATGTCTGGAGAAAGAGGTTTCTATTGTCACATTAACCCAGACACTAAAGTAAAAATCAGATACTAAAACAAGCTTGGCATGAGCAGCTCTGACAGAAAACTACAAGGAAATCAGAAGTTTTCCTAAGGGGAAAACATCAAAATATCATGGGCAAAATACAATATTTTGACAGAAAACCCACTTTACTGTGACCACTTTCAGAAACTCACAACTCATTATGATGAAATGTATCTCTAATATGCATTTGGGTCTGCTTCCCCCTCACCTTTTTTTTGGTTTTTTGAGACAGGTCTCACTATGCAGTTCAGTCTGCTCTTGAGCTCACTTTGTGATCTAAGCTGGCCTCGAGCTCACAGTGGATCCTCCTGCCTCAGCCTCCCAAGTGCTGGGATTACAGGCGCATGCCACCTCGCCCGGGTCCTCACTGTTTTGTAGCAGAGTAGAAACAGCTGTAATGTGACTATCATCTGTACCATCACTAGCACTCGGCCCTCATCCTCAGACCTCAGGGCTCACAAACTCATTTTCTTCCTAAGATAACCAGAAAACAACTGTTTCTAGGCCAGTGATTATGAACCTTTTAGAGTTTTCAATGACAACAAACTGCTGGCTACAGCATGCATGCCGCAGGTTCACTACCACTGTTCTACACTTTCATACCTTTTAAAAAATTTTTCATTTTCATCATTCTGAGGTTTGCTAATAAAGGACAGATTTTGATCTGCACTACATATGAATAATCGGCGCATCCACTCTTATTCCGAGCTTGGAGCTGACTCTCTGAGAAGATAATGTAAGGAGAAAGGAAGATTTGGAAGCCTTCTGAAGTTCAGGTACACACAGAACTACTTTCAGTCAAGATCCTCTTTTTCTACCACTTGTTATCACTGTTGAAGTGCTATGCTAAAACTTACTATTGTCGAGAATTGGAATTTGTATAGTTCTGGAATATTTTCTTGAGTTCTCATACATTCACTATTGAAAACCAGAAAGTCGGGCTGGGCGTGGTGGCGCACGCCTATAACCCTAGTACTTGGGAGGCTGAGGCAGGAGGATCATTGCAAGTTTGAGGCCAGCCTGGGCTACAAAGTGAGCTCAAGGCCAGCCTGAACTGCATAGCAAGACCCTGTCTCAAAAAGACCAAAAAAAAAAAAAAGAAAACTAAAAAGTCTTAGGCCTCCTGCCTTCATAAAAAAAAATTATCTTACAAGTATCTACCCATTTAAAAATGTAAATGTTTTAAAAACAATCCTAAAAAAAAAAATTTTTGTGAGTGGATGATTACAAACCAAATCATACAATTTCTATACCTGTTTGTGTTCACACATCATCATAATCTTTTTTTTTGGGGGGGGGGTTTCCAGTACTGGGACTCAAACTCACTACCTCGTGCTTGCCAGGTAGGCGCTGTGCCGCTGAGCTAAATCCCCGGCCTCCATAATCTTTTTTGAAGGCAAAAATGAGAAGGGGAAATGAAAATGATTAAAATGCAATATGTCTATGTACCAACTCCCTGAAAAGAATATAATTATTATTATAACAAAAATATACTCAAGAAAAAGTTTTTTTTTAAATTCACAAAGGACACGCCCAGGACAGAGGTCACCACTGTCTTTCATGATCCTGTTAAAGAAGAGCTGATGTGGTTAGAAAAGCATGCAGGAATTTAACTTCAATTTTACCAGTCTAATAATCTCTATAAACATACAGTTTATAGAAAGTTGTTAATTATTAGAAAAATACAGAGATTCCCAGAGGGTATCAAACAGCACAGGAGCTCCAATTACTCACCTTGTGCAGAGGAAGTACAAGGAAAGCTCCACCTCCACTTGCTTCTATGATTATGGCAACAAATCTGGGATTGACAGCACAAAAGGAACTATCCCAGGTCACACGAGAAACCCGGATGTCATCATAGCACTGGTCATTTTTCACTGCTTGTCCAAATACATGCCGAAACTTGCTCTGTCGTACCACTCGCCGCATTGTGTCTATAGAAGAGGAGCAAGAATTACATTAAAATTATGCACCCAATAGAAAGCTTTACTTTTACAAATAAAAGCTCTGAGTCAAAAAAACAGAACAGTATGGCATTTGTCTGCTCTTCTAAAAAGTAGCCAAGATGAAAATCCAAATTTCCTTTAGCAGCACATACCCAGAGAAAATTGTAAATGCGTCAGGGAAAAAATTAGAACAAAATAAAAAATCTCTAATTCAACATCCAAGAACAGCTCATCTATTTTAATTTCAGGAGAAAGACTAAAGCAAAGAACGAAGGAAAATTAGCTTCTCGGGGTTGGGTGGGAACTGCCAGATAATTTATTCCAACTCCTTCCCCTTTCAAAGATAAGAAAACTCTGAGGTGAAATTATCTGATACATGTGAAGCTGAGAAAGTCTAAAAACAAGCCATAATTTTGTGGCTCTCTCTTCAGCCTGCCAAGGTAATTCTTCACTTTTTAAGCATTTTCCCCCAACATCAGCACTCTGCTCTCTGAGAGCTCTGCCTGCTCCCCTGTGTTTCCACCAGACTAAGTGCACACAGTAGGGAAATCAAGAGAAAGAAGCCACTACTCTGTCTTCAAGAATCTTCTAACCTCTTAAGACAGGCATAATTATCAGAGAAACTCAGTACCAAACTCCCTAGTGCTAAATGGCACATAGGTAAAAACAGGAAAAACCAGCCCAAGGCCACAGAATGGATCAAGAGCCAAGACTTAGAAAAAGGAGAGGTATTTAAATGACTCAGAGGAATAAAGTGGTCAAAGCCCTCGTTAGGATGAGGGTAAGTCAGGCAGTAGCATATTGGAGAGATTAGCCAGGAAGAAGCCAAAAGCCAGGTATGGGGCCAGGAAGCGTGACAGGAAAACAGGCCTGGAATGACATGGCAACTGGACAGAGGAAAGGAAAAACCCAAGGACTATTCCAGAGGTGAAATGAAACCAGGATGGGCTTTCACATCAGAGTGATCAATCACAGCCACTTCAAAGTAATCAGGAAGTCTGAGGGGCAGTGTGGATGGCAAATGGCTAGCTAGGTCACTGGGCTTCCTCACAGGCCACTTTCAACTCCAAATTCCACTAGGCTTTCCAACAGGCACATGCACTGAAAGCTTTGAGCTTTAGGAGCACCAAGCCCCACCTGATTAAGGTTTGCTAGACTGCACTTGATGCAATTTTCCTATCTGCTACTGTAGGACATTCTTCAAATTGGTTAGGAGAGAAAGAACTTAGACAAAACCTAAGTGGAACTGGAACATGATCAAACCTCAACAACTCAGCTGAAAACCAGATCTCCATGTAGAGAGGAGAGCTAACACCTGTCCACTTGTGCTGTTTGGGACACATGGTGGGCTGTTGCTAATTCTTTCCCTCTAATTTCCTTCCTCATGGCCCTGAGCCCACTGCTAAATGCAGAGAAAATTTATTTTTGCCAGCGCCTTCCTTCTACCCTTCCAAGTCATGTGCAAAAGTGGCCTCTCTCCAATGCTGGGGCATGCGGCTGGGCTAAAGCAACAGACCCTTGGCAGGCAACTGAGCACCCGTGTTTCTCAGCACAGCTGTTGCCAGAACTTTCCAGCTGACTACAGGACCATACATATTGAATACTTAGTAAAGGAGATGGCAAATTATATGCTTACACTTAGCCAGGTCCCTCACTTGTGACACATTGAATTCTTCTCAAGTACGACTTAGGTAAGACAGCTTCCATGAAGTGGCAAAAACCAAAAGGAAAGCCAAGGTACAGCCAACTGGTCTCGGATACACCTCTCCACAGCCATCTACACAAGTTACAGAAGCTGGAATCTCCAACAGCATCTTCCACAATGTTTCAAAACTAAGTTAACAGCCAGGCACACTGGTGCAGGCCTGTCTTCCTAGCTACTTGAAAGGCTGAGGCAGGGGAATCACTTAAGCTTAAGAGCTCGAGACAAACCTGGGCAACATAGTTAAGACCTGATTTCAAAAAAATAGGTAAGTTAACATAAAAGAAAAAAATACTCTATCATATCAAAGAGTCAACATCCTTCAACTGGGTAAGGTGGCACCTGCCTATAATCCTAGCACTCTGGGAAGTTAAGGCAGAAAGATTACATGTTGGAGCCCAGCCTGGAAACCTAGTGATATAGCAAGACCCTGTCACAAAAAAAATAGAAAGTGCAAACGCCCTGGGTTCAATCCCTAGTACTATTTTTTTAAAAAAACACACACATATACATAAAAGAGAAAAAGTTTCATATATATAAAAAGTTCTTACAAACTCATTCAACTAAATAAAACCCAAGAAAAAATTAGGTAAAAGACATGAAGAGGTAATTTACAAAAGAAATACAAATGCCATTTATCAACATTCCTCCCTTGAAATTCTAACAAAAAGACAGTAAAGGAATAAAAGCAGACAGAAATATCAATGGACAACAGAATGGGAAAGGAGCCTGCAATGAGGCAAACGTGACCTCGAAATCTCAGGAGATGGAAAGCTGTGATGCACATGTAACTGACTGTGTGAGTTCCTTCCACTTAGGCAAGCATCTCAGAAGCATGCAAGAGCAATGCCAAGTCCACTGTGAATCCCCAGAACACTCAGAAGAGAAATTCTGTATAGCTAAAGAGGGACACAGGAGAGAGAGGTACAGACAAAATGGCCTGAATGCCTGAATTAAGTACAACCAGAGTCAGATTTTTCTTCCCCAGGGCTGCATAACCAGGGGACCAGCCTGTTTTTCTTCCAAGCAGAAGCCAGGATCGGCCAGACTGCCACACTGACAATCAGCTCCTATACCGCAGCCTCCAGCTCCCTGCTGCTCCCATGCTTTCTCTGGGGGCCACAATACCAAGATCCCACTGTATCCTGCAGAGATCAGAGTTCGCTGCACTTGATGAGGACCACCATTCAATAAGCCCCACCACCAACACAGGTATCATCCTGGCTTTTAAAGCTAATAATTCTTATTCTTCTCCCTTCCTACCCCCCCACCTGCCCTTCCCCTTTTGGTATTGGAGTTTAAACCCAGAGCTTCAGATTAAGCTATATCCCCCCCACCTTTTTTTTGTTTTGTTTTTGTCTTTTTTGAGACAGTCTCACTATGCCATTCAGGCTGGCCTTGAACTCACTTTGTAGTCCAAGCTGGCCTCAAACTCACAACCATCTTCCTGCCTTAGCCTCCTGATTGCTGGGATTACAGGCGTGGGCCACCACGCCCGGCTCCATCCATTATTTTTTATTTTGAGATAGGGTCTTGCTAATTTGCTAAATTGCCCAGACTGTGGTCAAACTTGTGATCCTCCTTCTCAGCCTCCCACAGTGCTGGGATTACAAGCATGCACCACTATCCCTGTCTTATTTTTCAACATGAATGGATTAAAGGAAAGCCTCTAATGTGAAAAGCAGGGACATTTTCCTCTTTATCTCCATAAGCTATATACCATCTAACCAGACAAAAATCCAAAGGTTAAAACAAATATGTAAAGTACTTTTTCTCCTTTGAAAGATACTATACAATTCTGCTGGCTGACCTAACTAAAATACCTTAAAAGGTCATACCCATATTATGCATAATTACTTCTTTTCATCCTAACTACATCTGGGCAGAAAAACATAGAGGTGTTTTGAGGGTTTTTTGGTTTTTGTTTTTCTAAAATCATGGAGTGAAATGTTAGCTGCAGAGCACAGTGAGGGGAAAAGCCGGGGCTTCCACAGTGCCATGCCGGATTGGGCATCTTGAAATGGAATTTGAAAGGTTGTGTGAGCCCATTCACATCCAAGGTCAAGCCTGACCTGGGCTCAAATGTCCACATACAGCACAGCTGCTTTTGCTGGGCAGACTATCTCAGGCCCTTCAGGCACACAATAGAGAATAGCAATTAGGAGCCCAAGCTCCAGAGTCAGCCCATGAGTGAAAAGCACAGCTGCATATTTACTTCTTGGCCATAGTTCACTAAGACAAGTTACTGAATTTTTATCAGATTCTCTATCTGAAAGTAGGTACAATGCATATAAAGTTGAAGTGATCATGAAGTAAGCACTTGGTTTGGGATAGTAGCATCAATGTACATGTTACAGCATTCCATATAGTTAGACACACAAAACTAAGCATTCAATAAATGCCAATTACTATTTTCCTAGTAATCAACATAAAATAATCTGCTTTCAAATCCTAGCTCTGTCATTTGTTACATATTACTTAATCTTACTGAGTTTCCTCATCTATAAAATGAACAGAATATTTAAAATAAGAATGAAAAACAGCAGGACGTGATGGTGCTTACCTGTAGTCCCAGCACTCGGGAGGCTGAGGCAGGAGGATTACTACAAGTTTGGCCAGCCTGAGCTACAAAGTGAGTTCAAGGGCAACCAGAACTGCATAGCAAAACCTTGTCTCAAAAAGACAAAAAAGAAAAAGAAAAGAAAAGAGAAGAATAAAAAAGAATGTAAGCCAGTATCTGGCAAACGAAGTCCAGGTCCAAATAGCTTTACCACTGAAGTCTATCAGCCATTTACAGAACTAATGCTAATCTTTCACAAAGTCTTCCAAAAATATGGCCAGGTATGGTGGCACACACTTGTAATTCTGAGACAATGGAGGCTGAGGCAGGAGATCATTAATTTGAGGACAACCTGGGCTACACAATTCAAGGACAGACTAAACTACATTGTGAGACCCTATCTCAAACAAATAAACAAACACCAAAAAAGGCAGGAACACTACCAAACTAATTATATGAGAACAGTACTATCCTGATGCCAAAACCCAACAAACATACCACAAGAAAACTAGAACAGTTCCTTTGAATATGGGTGCAAAAATTCTCAAAATGTTAGCAAACCAAATAGAGCAACATATAAAGGAACCAAACATGACTGAGGTCTATCCCAAGAATACAAGGTCAGATTAACATCTGAAAACCAATTAATGTAACATGTATCAACAGAGTAAGAAGAAAACTCAACTGACCATCTCAGACACAAAGTATCTGACAATAACATCCTGT